TTAGCGTGGCCAATGATTCTTATTTTGCTCCAATCAAATTGATGCTGCTTAGTGTCAGTGTGGGTAGAAATTAGGGATTTGCGATTGTGGTGTTTGACTGCCAACTGGTGTTCATTCGATTCTAGTTTTCAATTGACGTGATATGTGTCTCATGTAGAATTGGTTGCAACGGTTACAGTTTGTTTTGTAAATTACATTTTTTTCTTTCATCCTTCTGTATCTTGTCTTTGGTTTGGGATAATTACCAGTGAAGTGTGGGTGTGGGTTTGTGGGCTATTGATATTTCTAGAGATTATCACTCTTCAATATCTTTATACTTCATAGAAAACCTCTATCTCATCTGAACATTTCTTCATTAGAACTGACAGTTCACCATCCTGCTTTCTTCTTGACTTTTGTGTCTAGCATGTTGATCGTATATAGTAATGAACCAAGAATAATGAATTTGCAGAATCAGGGATACCCCCAGAACTTTCTAAAGCCATCAACTGTCTGGTCCTCCAAGACTGTTAAATTTGATTTACTGCTGTACTAAACCTAGGGTCTTCCATAATTCCTCACAATTGGTTATGCCAGTTGAGTTTTTGTGGTCCAAAACATCTGGGACACATAGAAATAGATTCCATGTTTGATGAACTTTGTTCTTACCCTCTTCTCATGGTTGATAGCTCCTTTGTTGGATATTTGTTCCATAAAGAATCATGTCCTTACAGTGTTATGTCTGCTTTCAAAGGTTTCTATCCGGTTGGATGGGGAGAACAAAGCACTGGAGTACAACGCAATTGGACTTACCAGAGATGCTGTGAGAGTCGTTTTCAGAAACGGACGTGTCAATGACCTGTTTGATCGTAACTGGCATAAGATTGCACTCAGCATCCAGTCCCAGACGGTCTCCTTGTACATCGATTGCAAACTGGTCCAGACATTACCGATTGAAGACAGAGAAAATATTGACATTCAAGGGAAAACGGTGATCGGCAAACGCCTTTATGACAGTGTGCCAATTGATGTAAGTACCAAGGAAAAAGCTCATCCCCCCTAAAAGGTGGGATCAGTTCTACCACCAATCATATTTCTTTTTTTAAACAAGTTTTATTCAATTTTTCCAAAACAACATAAAAAAGCTCTTTTCAGCATACAACATAATTCCGAGTCACCACTTTTACATGCAAATATGACAGTGATTATATATTCATTTTTACATTCAACATTCTGTCTTGTCCATTTTTAACTTAATTCTATTATTACTTCTCCATTCCAACTTTTACATAAGAAAAGAAACAAACACATTAATTCTGTTAAGTGATATTACTTTCATTCTAAGCATCTTCTCAATTCATTTCAATTTCTTTAAGATATATTTTTAAAACATTAACATTTCTTTTAAGTGTGGTCTTTTCCAAAGTACTCTTTCCTCATTTTACCTCTCAACTTTTATATAAGAAAAGGAATAGGCAAGTTAATGCTATTCATTAATATTACTCTCATTCTAAACATCTTCTCAATTCATTTCAATTTATTTCAAATGTATTTCTTAAGCCTTAACGTTTCTTTTAAACGATGCCTTTTCCAAAGCACTCTTTTCTCATTTAAATCACTAATAGTTTCCATATCTTCATACTTATTCCCTTTTAATTCTTTTTTATCTTCTCAAATTTGCAACTCCATCGCATAATCTTTTCATAAAGTCTAGATTAATACAAGTTTTTCACATAAAACAAAACATAAATTTCCCTTCCCCTTTTACTAGTTTGGGGTGTCACCTCAGTGGTTTAAGTATGCCTTAATTCCCTCATCTGTAATTCCCAATTAAACCTCTATTTTACTTAGTTATAGTAATAATCAATCCCTAGAAAAATACACTACTTTACATTGTACTTTTCAGTCAGATTCCGCAATGTATTTTCTCCCTTTACTTCCATAAAATTTTATTTATGCTATAAAAAAAAAGAAAGAAAGAAAGAAACAATTAATCCTTTTTGTTTGGTCACTGATATTAATCTCATTTTTAAACCTCCTCACAATTTATTTCAATCATTTCAATATATATAATAAGTAATCTTCTTCTTCTTAATTCTACATGGATACCACACACAAGGAGAGAGGACATGCCCTCTAATGGCTGCCTTTATATAAATACCTCTTAAAGGGATAGAATCCATCCCCAGCCTTAAAGGGAAATACCCATGCTATGCTGATTCATTCCTATTGCATCAGCCACATCTGGTCAGCTTCACTGCTGGTTGCCTCTTAAATCCCAAGACTTTAACATGTAATTCCATTACAATTTTTCAAGAACTGTGTGGCACTAAAATATCTTCAGTTAAGCATAGATGTCAACTCTGAAGCTGGCCTGACTGAGGCCATCTTGGAGGCTTCAGCTTTGCCACAATAGTGATGCGGGATAGTGAGGGAGGGAATAGAGATAGCTGGGGTTTTGTAGCCAAAACAAAATAGTTTCCCCTGAGAACCAAGGACATTCCGACAGGTGGATGATAAGATGAAGAGTGCAGTTTCCAAACAACCAGACAGAACTTTGATGGGACCATGTGACTTATTGTTTGGGAAAGGGGGAAAAACTTTTACTTTTAATTAGGTGAAAACCATGGGGCCTTTAGAGTCAGTTTTCACTAACCTGTGCCAATATGATATACCCAATAAACCTGTTCTTTGAGGAAACTGCTTTCCTCAGAGTTCTGTTTGCTATGGGCATATTACTTGGAACCCTGACAATAGAATAATAACAGATTTAATATTTTGTGACTAAGGGAGACATGATAGCAGTGTTCCAATATTTGAGGGGCTTCTAAAAGAGGAGGGGGTTCAAACTATTTTCCAAAGCACCAAAAGGCAAGATAAGAAACAATGGATGGAAACTTATTAAGGAGAGAAACAACCTAGAACTAAGGAAATTTATCTGGACAGTGAGAATCATTAATAAGTGGAATGACTTGCCTCCAAAAGTTATGGGTGCTCATTCAGTGGAGGTTTTTAAGAAGAGATTGAACAATCATTTGCCTGAAATAGTACAGGTCTCCTGCCTGAGCAGGGGTTGGAATAGAAGACCTCCAAGGTCCCTTCCAACTCTGTTATTCTATGTACTATTTAGCAGTCGCCACAGACAGGAACATGAAAATAGTTTCCTTTCTATTTTTATTTTGTGCATTTATTGTATTCAATGTTTATGCCATCTATCTCCCCTACAAAGTTATTCTGGATGACTGACAAGTTAAAAAAAATACAAATAAAAGTAATAAAAATATTAGATATTAAAACAACACCGTTTAAAATATTATTATAAACTGAACTGAAACCAAAATTATTGGCAGCTCTCTGAAGACAAATCTTCTTTCTACCATCTTTAGCATATGTGATTTCTAGATTTTGAAATTTGATAAGCAGCCCTATTGCTCATGAAATGGAACAGAGCTTTTAAATCTTGCTAGAAATTTCTGAATTCTGACACCCATTCTAAAATCATCAAAATAAATAAAAGCAAATAAAAGCAACACACCAGAGATGGAAAGAATGGTGAAATGTTTAATCTATTGTTGGTTTTCCTATCCTGAGGTGGATTTTAAAAACTAGAATTATTCAGAGAAGGACTTTGAGGCTTAGACTTCTAGATTTCTTAGACAGAAATGTTCACAATTTCATGTCCTCAGTCTGATTAACCAGTTTCTAAAGTATCTCACATCACTTTTTTTTTTTTTTGCCTTTTTACATTTCTTGTTCCAAACTTTCTGGGCCTGTAAATGTTTACACATTCTTCCATTGTTATTATAAGGGCAAATGACACTATGAGGACTGGCATTATGTCAGCAAATAGTCTTGTGGGCGCATTATTTTGCTGCAAAATCAGTTCACAAATGAACTGACACCATTTCCTTTTTCTTCTAGTTTGACCTTCAGAGGATGGTTATTTATTGTGATTCACGACATGCCGAGCTTGAAACCTGCTGTGATATTCGTTCTGGACCTGTAAGTTTAAAATGTAGTCCTGCTTTGCAAATGTGCTTTTGGACATACCATGTAACAATGGCTCCTTGTTATACCTTCCAACTGAAGGGCTATATTTGATTGAGATACATGAACACACTAACCACCATTCCACACACCACACCAAAATATAGGTAGTCTTCAACTTACAAGTATGGCTTGTTTTGGAATTTCCATTGTAACTCACTGTGGCTATAAGTCAAATCAGATTCAATTTTATAACCATTTTTACAGCAGTTCTTAAGTGAATCCAGCCACCCTGCATGGATTTTATTGCCGTTTAAAAAAGTCACAAATCATCAATTGGCAAACTTTATGGGAGAGAAACAACAACAACAAAATAACATTGGCCACATCGTATAAGGAAAACCTATATAAAATGTTTTATAGGTGGCATCTTCCTCCAGCAAAATTGTCTAAAATGTTTCAAAATATATCACCTAACTGCTGGAAATGCACTAAAGAATATGGTTCATATTATCACATATAGTGGAGATGTAGAAAAACCCAGGAATTTTGGCAGAGAATTCAGAGGTGGCTTGAGGAGAAGGTAGGGCATAAAGTGGAATACAAACCAGATTTTTCTTCTTCTTGGAATTATAACAGAAAAATATAATAAAGGAGAGATCTATTTAATGATATGTGTGATTATGGCAGCAAGACTAACTTTTGCTTAAAAGTGGAAAGACAAAGAAATTCCCGATGAAAATGACCTAATAAAGATATATATGGACATGCGCTGAGATGGATAAACTAACTTTAGAGATGAAAGATAAAGAAGAGATAGAATACTATAAAGTATGGGATAAATTTTATCAATGGTGGGGGGAAAGGAAAGATCTAGAATTAAAAGAGAATAGGGTTGGCAGAACGGATTACTAGAATTGGAAACTATTGCATAAATGTACAGATGTATAAATGTAGGTATGTATATAAAATTTGTATTCTATGCCATAATATGTATGACAAACAGGATTGTTGGGATGATCACACCATGTCCAATGTTTTTAATAATTTATTTAATAAAATTTTGTTTTTAAAAAAGTCACAAATCATGACTACAGGACATTGTAACCAGTTGTAAATGTGAGATGGTTGCCAAACACCCAAATACCCATCACATGACTATGTGGGTGCAGCAACAATTGTTAACACAAATACATGTCATGGGTCACTTTTTCTGGGGCTGTCATAACTTTGAGCTGTTGTGAAACAAAAGGTTGTAAGTTGAGGCCTACCCTGTGTTAATTTTAATAGTGAAGATAAATATAGTTCAATGTTGATATTGTTGGGTTCTTAGCATTCTTTGAACTTGCTTGTCTCATTTCAGACATTTCATTACAAGCTAAGCAATGAATCATCAGTGCATGGGAGAGTAAAGTTGGCAAATGTTCTTTCCTGGTGCTCTGATTTTATTACTCAGCCTGGTGATGAAATGTTTGCAAAATCTTCAAAATCTTCATTCAAAATCTTCATTCAAAATATTCATGCGGTCATGGTACAAATTCAGAATATCCCAATCAGACTAGGATATAATTATCTTTGATGGTCTCTCTGTTGCCTCCAAAATCTTCTTGGAGCTTCATTTATACTGCTAAAATAAACAAAACAGATTTTTTTATTACTTCTTCCCCTTTTCTTCTCCTTGTTCCTTATTCCTCCCTTTTCTATGGCATTGGCATGGTGAAACGTTCAACCACCAATCTTTAGAGAAGAGCAATTTTTGTAGGATCACCCTAAGATGTAGTCTGTGATGACCTGGGGCATGGCACAAAGGCAACACAGTCAGATAATCAGTAGGAGTCCCTTTATTAGCTCCAACTTTGCCCCCAGTGTCCTGGTTACTTTCTGGGCTAGAGAAAAAACTCTCCCAGCAACAGCCGTTGGTTGCAGAGAATCAAGTCCAAAATGTGGTCAACAAAAACTGTAACTATAAGTCCAATCAAGGCAAATGAGGCAATTAGTCTGGCAGGGCAGGAGAAGGAATTCCAGACGTGAAAGAATGGCAGTAATTCAACCTGGTTGGGAGGTTGCCAGGAACGCAGATAACCAAAGTCAACACAAGATAAACTCATGTTTGTTCCCAGAAGACGCTGCACTCAGCTTGCATCTCTTTTAAACTCTCATTCCTAGGTGTGGCTAATGAAGAGAATCAGGGCCCTTTCCTTCCCCGTAAGCCGTGCAACCCAAGTTGCTCTCTTCTCCATTCCCCTCTGCGTGCCCTAGGATGCAGAGGGGGTGGGCCTGGGTCCTCCTCTGAACTCCCCCTCCCTTGTTCTATCTCTCCCCTGCTCTATCCAGCCAGACTTTGCCCTCCCCACAGCCAATGGAGCCACACTCTCACTCCCTGTCAGGTATTCGTCTTCCTCCTCAGATTCAGACTCCGACAGGGAAATGACATAGTCTCTATGCAAGAATCAGTACAGCAGTAGAACATCCTTTCTGGCAATCTAGAGCTGATTTGATTCAAAATGTAGCATTTCTAATCCTGTGACTGAATCAGTAGTGGTGTTTGCATGATTGACACATTCTGTTTAACACACAGCTATCCTAGTCATGAGGGACACAGTGGCTCACTGGCCAAGACACTGAGCTTGTCGATTGGAAAGATCAGCAGTTTGTCGGTTCGAATCCCTAGTGCCACATAACGGAGTGAGCTCCTGTTACTTGTCCCAGCTTCTGCCAACCTAGCAGTTTGAAAGCATGTAAAAATGCAAGTAGAAAAATAGATTTTACTTTGGTGGAAAGGTAACAGCGTTCCGTGTACCTTTGGCATTTAGTCATGCCAGTCACTTGACCATGGAGACATCCTTGGACAACGCTGGTTCTTTGGCTTTGTAATGGAGATGAGCATCGCCCCCTAGAGCCGGAAACGACTAGCACGTATGTGCGAGGGGAACCTTTACCTTTACAATAAAACTACTACCTTGAAAGTGTCTTGGAGCCATCTAAGCAAGGCGAACCTTTATCTTTACCTATCCTAGTCATGAAAACCCTACCACTAAAGAAGCTTTGAAGATAGCTTTGCATCATTCTGAAGTCATTCAGCATCAATATTGTGCAATATTGGAATCAATAGGAGTACATGTACTCCTTGACTTACAACCATTTGTTTAGTGACCGTTCAAAGTTACAACAGCATTGACTTATGACCGTTTTTCACATTTACAACTATTGCAGCATTCCCCACAGTCACGTGATCAAAATTAGGACTCTTGGCACCTGACTCTTATTTATGATGGTCGCAGTGTCCTGGGGTCATGTGATCCCCTTTTGCAACCTTCTGACAAGCAAAGTCAATGGGGGAGTCAGATTCACTTAACAGCTGTGTTACGGCATCCACAACTGCAGTTTTTCCCTTAACAATTGTGGCAAGGAAGGTCGTAAAATGGGGCAAAACTCACTTATCAACCGCCTCACTTAACAACAGATATGTTGGGCACAATTGTGGTCGTACATCAAGGACTATCTGTGGTGCCAAATATTCTCCTGATATAAATTGCTGATAAAAGGGAACTATTTCTTTTTCATGAAAAACATGCCCATACCCATCTTTTCTTTTTAAAAAATCCTATTTAAATGCTATTTATACGGTGTTGCTATTGTTTGTGTGATTTTTGTTTTTTTTTAACTGACGGAGTGTCAAGTGACCCTGGTTACAGATGTTCCCCCTCCTGTAATTCCACCAACGGATGGAAATGAGTACATTGGACCTACCAAGACAGTCAACTGTTCCTGTCCTCCAGGAGAAAAGGTTTGTATTTGAATTCACCCTGTTATAAATAAGAGCCACTAGACCCAAGAGAATTGGATCTAAGGCAATGGTCCCCAACGTTTTTTGTACCAGGGACCAGTTTCACGCAGAAACACTTTTTCAAGGACCGGGTAGGGGCGTGAAGGTTCCAATAACAAAAACCTTAATCAATGCTGGGTGTTTTGTTCCCATGTGGTGGCGCAGTTTTGATGGTTTCATGGCTTCATAGTTGTCTCGTTTACCCTTTCCCAAAAAACTCTCCAGTGAACTCTGTTTCTGGCTCATTTTGCGAGGGCTAGCTTGCATTGCTGATGCAGGATAAATACGTGCCAAAGAGTCAAGCGTGGAAGTTAGGCGAGGGCGGAAGTGGTTGTCTTTCAAAATAAGACACCTGGAAGCAAAAACATATTTTTATATATATTTTAATCACGATTATTCATTCTTTGTGGCCCGGTACAAAATGATCCACGGACCGGTACCGGTCTGGGGCCCGGTGGTTGGGGACCCCTGATCTAAGGGATATTCCATTGGGTTGTGGTTAATGAAAGCTCAGCATATCATAACAGGAATGGACAACCTGTAGGCAGGGTTGGGCTGATACCGGTTTGCCCTGGTTTGCACGAACTGGTAGTTAATTTTATGGCCGGTTTGGCAAACTGGCAAATCCCACCCCTGGTTAGCCCATCCCACCCGCACCTCACCCCTCCCAGGAGTCCCCACATGGCCTGTTTTATATCCCAGGTAAGTACAGGGCCCACGTGGAGGCTCGGGAGGGTGAGAAATGGACCTCTTGAAGGCTCCAGAAGGCCAGAAATGGGCCTGTTTCTGCCTTCCAGAGAGCCTCCGGAGCCTCGGGAGGCTGTTTTCGCCTTCCTGGAGGCTCAAGAAAAGCCTCTGGAGCCCAGGGAGGGCAAAAAATGGGCCTCCCAGAAGTTCCAGAAGTCCAAAAATGCCCCCCTTCCCTGCCATGGTGCAGGAGGCCGACTAGGCCATGCACACCATGGCCACACCCACCCTGCAACTGGGCAGAGAACCCATTGCTAAAAATTTTGAAGCTCACCCCTGTCTGTAAGCCTGGAATTGCACATGGCCCCTTACTCACTTTGGGGAGGGGAGTCTTTTTCTCATGATTCTAAAAGCTGCAGGCATAGATTTGTGCCTCTTTTGACATGGGAAGCTAATGAAAACTCCAGTGTAAGCCCTAAAACAGGCATAGAACTATCATGAATTAAACCACAGGAAATCATTTTTAACATCCTTGCTTCATAAGGAACCACCCCTGCTCCTCCTCAGAACGTATGTATGGCCACCAAAGATTGTCCACTTCTGTCCTGCAAGAAAGGAAAGGAAGATAAGAGAATACAGGAAGATTTAAGTAGGTCTACAATTTCTGGTCTCATTAAAATCTGGATGACAGTTTGATGTCACTAAGGTATGCTGCACAGACACACTGCTTCCATGCAGTGTTCATCTGGAATGGTATATGAGAGAAATCTTGAGAAACGAATCAAAGAGATGCAACAGATAAGAGTTATAGCCTACAGCTGCATAACAGATGGGTAAAGAAGTTCAGAAGGGACTAACTTCCCTTACTTCTCAGGCTGTAAAGGAAATGGTGGAAGAGTTATACTTTCAGACCTGCAAGACTCTATGAATGTTTTCTCACAATAAAATAGCCCACCTAATCTGTTTCCTTATCTGGTATACCTGGGAAAGCTGGGTCCATTCTGTAAGTCTTATAAATGCAAATGTCCTGCTGTTTGCTTTGTGTCCTGAAAAGTTAGCAGCCATGGTGGCTCAGTGGTTAGAATGCAGTATTGCAGACTAACTCTGCCCTTAGTCAGGAGTTCGATTCTGATGGGTTCAAGGTTGACTCAGCCTTTCATCCTTCTGAGGTTGATAAAATTGTCAGAGTGTTTGCAGTGTGACTACCATTATGAGACAACCCAGGAGCAAAATGCAGCACACAGAGACTTAGACATTTAACAGTGGTTTATGTACAAGACATATGCAGAAATATACATGGTAGGAAAAATACTTTACAAGCAATCAACTCCACACAGAGAACTCTGCAATGGATATCGGACACAAGGAGAAAGAACATGCCCATTAATGGCTGCCTTATATATCTGTAGACCCTTTCTTAGTCTTCAAAAGGCAATACCAATGCTGATTCAATTACATCAGCCTCATATTGCATCAGCTTCACTGCTGGTTGGTTCTTAAATGCTAAGACCTTAACAAAAATGAAGACCCAGATTGTTGGGGGCAATATGCTGATGTTGTAAGCTATCCAGAGAGTGCTTTAAAGCATTATGGAGTGTATATAAGTCTATGTATTATTGCTATTGCTATCCCTTTTGAGCATCTTTCTTCCCCTGTTATGCAGCTGTGGGCCACATCCTCCCTTATCCTATCATTCTCTAGACAACATCTCTTCCATCTGTTACTCAAGGTCTTCCTCATATGATTACATCATCTGAATTTTACAGCCGAAATATGGCAGCCTCCATTGAAACCCCTGTGGTTTTTTTCAGTCCCATGTAGTTGTTTCAGAAACTGCTTTCAGCAATTATTGCAGATGTGCAGACTGCTCACACAGAGCCACTAAGTCAGGATTCATAACATGTGAGAAGCAATGATGAATTTTGCTATTAAACAGTCTCCATTTTTCACTTTAGGGGGAGAGAGGCCTTCCAGGGTTTGAAGGATTGACTGGACAAAAGGTTAGTGTTGTCCAAGGAATAAAACATTTTTTTTAAAAAAATGAAACATAAGCTGCATACACTTTCTTAAGGATTTCTTCTTCTTTTCAATCTACCCTCTACTGTTTTTTTTTTTTTTTTTTTTGCTACCTTAAATACAGCAGCCGTATTTTTTTAATTGTGGCACTTTAATTAACAAGGCTTTCACAGAAAGGCATGAGATAATTGTTAAAAGGGGAAAAAAATGCCTCTTATCTTTTAATAGCCATCATCTTAACAATGGCTGGAATGCAAGATGATTTGAAAAATGCTAAATCACAGCCAACTTAATAGAATGAAATGCAATTATTGAACAAGATGCCTGAGTGAGAAATCAACCTTAACAACTCATTCCATTTGGAGCGTCCCACAGCATCTCTAAAACACAGCCAGATACAATACAGATTCCTGTTTAACACTCAAAACAGACCTGCCTACACAATTGATCTGATGTATGGAGTGGTTTGTTTGACATTGGCATTGTATTAAAGGCGTCTGTTTTTTTGTTTTCTTCTTTTCATGTTTTTTCACCCATGATTTACGTTTGCACACAGTGTAATGGCTGGATGATAATATTTTCCATTACTATCTTTGCAGATGGCATCTGTAAACACTTTAGTTATGCTGCTGTCTTAGTTTATTAGAATTTAGGCCATTGGGCACTTAGAACAAGACAGTACAGTAAGACCAAGGATCAGATACATTGTAGTTTTATTTATTCTAATTTATTCATAAGGTTTGTGGATGCATATTTTCTGACTAACGCTGTAGCTCTGGAAATAGCAGATACCATTTCAACATCTGCATGAAAGCAATATTCTTGGCTTCAGGTCCTGTCTATGCAATATTTTCTCCTCCTCCTCATTCCTCTCCCCCTCTTCCTCCTGTCCATAAATCCCACTACGTTTCAGCACTGATGGTGTTTCCTAGTTGGGTAATGAAATGGCATAAGAAAACAACCAAGCTCAAAGAGCCCCAGCAAACCTCCATTACAATCAGTAACTCTGAGACAAACATAGCTCAAAAATACCTTTATTAGAATAGCACCTGGCACATCTGTGGAATCCCGAATCTGAAAGTTTTCGGACTTTCCACAATTCCCAAACTGTAATCGATCCTCCCTTGGCCATCATCACATCGCCCAATCACGATCCATCCAAAAGTAAGATCCTTTTTTCATCCTGCACCATACCCAATGACCTTGAACTAACAACAGAATTTTATTTTGTCTACTTAGAGCTACTCAATTGAATCCACCCCCCTCCCACTTGTGGCCACATGGAACATGGCTTCCAAAACTGACACCAAGGACCCAATAGTCATTGTCGTCGTCCTCCTCCTCCTCCCCCCTCCTCCTCCTGTCCACAAATCCCACTACATTTCAGTATTGATGGTGTTTCGTAGTTGGATAATGAAATATCGCAAGAAAAGAACCAAGTTGAAAGAGCACCAACAATGACCCCATAGTTTTCTCCTCCCCCTCCTCCTCCTCCCTCCCTCCTTCCTTCCTTCCTTCCTTCCTTCCTCCCTCCCTCCTTCCCTGTTAGATAAAGAAATGCATGTTTCACCATTAAGTTTTTAATTTTTAAAAAATGGCTATGGTAATAAAGGTCAGCGGGGGAAAATCATGTCCTTTTTGCTAACATATCTTTATTTTGGTCAAGGGAGACATTGGACCAATTGGACCTCCTGGCCCAAAAGGAGAACCAGTAAGAACATTTATGAGACTCTAAATATTCTTTTTTCTATCCCTATGTAATCATGTACTTGTGAGAAAACTCAAGCAGATTAAACAAAAAACAGAATAGGTCCTGGTGGACTAACTTAAATCAAATTCTAAATCCATATATTGGAGACCCCAGTTGAATATTTTAAAATAATTAACTATGGAGGGGGTCTGTAGTGGTCTCATGAACACTGCCTACAGTAACATCCCTGACCTTCTCATCACAGAAAAAGCAGATGGTAGAAACTTCCTCTTCAGGTATTAGTCATAGTCATCTAAATATAGTTACAAATTCTATCTAGATCTGGGATTTCCAACTTTGGCAACTTCAGGATTTGTGGACTTCAGCTCCCAGAATTCCCCAGCCAGCCATTCTGAGAGTTGAAGTCCACAGATCTTAAAGTTGTTAAGGTTGGACACCCCTGTTTAGATTCTTTGCCTAGCCATATGGAGAAATCTTGATTGGAAGACACATAAGACAGTGTGTTCATCTGCTTGTATTTTCCCTGATTCAACATCTCCACGACAGCCAAAGTTTTGTTATGAATTATTTCTGAAGGGATAGCTTTTTTTAAAAAAAATGGAAGCAGAGATAATATCGACTTTCACAAAATTAGAGAGGTTGTCTTTAAATCCACCTCCTTTCTTGCAGGAGAAATTCTAATTAGAATTTTTCAGATCTCATTTATCAAGACATTTACTTAAAGTTTTACAACCCTTCATAACATAATTTACCTCAGCTCTCTTTTAAAAATCACTTGTTATAATTGTGAAATATCAAATAGTGTTCTGATCCTGCCCAGTTTCAAGGCAATTAAATGGCTGGGCTTTAAGGTATTAAGTTCTAGACCACGCTGTCAATTTGGTTGTTATCCAATTGTATCAAACTATCCCTTTCATCTACAATTAGCTATATTAGCTAGGGATTATGGAAGGTGAAGTCCACCAGTTTGATGGAGTTTCTTTTTGATTCTAGTTAAAGTCATAATAGTAGAGACCTTTCCTTGAACTCTTGGTTAGAATCTTCCATACAATCTGATTCAACCTTGATACTAGAAAATGCAATGATTTATTAATTGAATGTGTTCAATTGTGCTATTCCATAGCTTGATAAAGCTGTTACCATTGAGCATTATTTCTGACCTTGCATATCTCCATTGCATCTGCTGATCCTGGTTTTATTAATTTCTCTTTTCAGGGTGGGGAAACATTTGGACGAACAGAAAAAGGACAAAAGGTATCATTAAAACATAAGATGAAAGGACATCTTGAGCATATGGTCTCGTTTGTGTTAATTCAAATTCAAAATCCCGATTAGCACCTTCAAAACTCCACATGGCATGAGGCCAGATATTATTAGTGGACCACCACTCCCATAGGATATCTGCCAACCCCACCAAAACAGTTTCTAGGTCCCATCTAATAAATGATGTCAACGGATAGGATCTAGGGTGTAGACTTTTTCAGTAGTGGTACCTGCCCTATAGAATAGCATTCACCAGATCTGCAGAAGGCCCTTGCTCTCTTGGCACTTGGAATTTCCTTTAAGACTTCACTGTTCCCCCAGACATTCCCCCCTCTGTCTCTCTCTCCATCCATCCATCCATCTATCTATTCTCACTTTTCTGACAGTGAGAGCAATCAACCCATGGAACGAAGGTTACCTTCAGAAGTTGAGGAAGTGTCATCACTGGAAGCTTTCAAGAAGAATGTGGACTGCCATCTGTCAAAAATGGTGTAGGATCTCCTGCTTGGGCAATGTTCTGGCCTAGGCTTCCCCAAAAAGCACCAAGCAGACTCTTTGTCCCAGCAAAACCCCTTTTATTAAATGAAGGTGAATTTATTGCATTCACATTCAGCCAAAGGCCTGGCCAACAGTCTTTCAAGGGTCTAATTAGGAGCACAGACCTTATCTAGCCTGCAGAGCTGCCAAGTAAATATTTTCAAACACAGTGCTGACAAGGAAGGGCTTGGCACAGAATTTCTGAGATGCACGGACAGATCTTCACACTGCGGCAATGAACGGGTTGTTTCCTGCAAAAGCCCTCTCTCCCTTTGCTCCTCTTTTAATCCCTATGGGAGGTGCCATTCATCATCCACCTGTGGCCTTACTCCCATGCCGACCCTTAGCTTATAATTGTTCTTTTCTTCTGGCAGCTCTGCGCATGCACAGGCTGGGAACCGACTCCAGCTGCTCCTCCGCCTCAATGCTGTCCAACTCTGAAGACAGCTGATGACTACCAGACAGCTTTGGCCACCTCTCTGCCTCTGATGCAGAGCCCTTGTCTGAGCCTTCCTCAGCCTCCAAGACAGGCCCGTGTTCCTCCTCCCTCATTATCCTGCTCTGCTGCCAGCTCTGCTAGCTGCCAGCGGGCCACAACAGGCGGGGGTTGGACTAGAGGACCTGCAAGGTCCCTTCCAACTCGTCTATTACGTTAATCTGTTATTCTTCTATCCATCTACTTGTCCATTCATGGATTAAAATCTGCAAGATGTAGAGTGCAACATCACAGTCCAAGTCCTACCTCGTTTGTATGTGTGTGAGAGACATATATAGGTTAAAAAAAAAAGGGGAATGGGGCTTGGATATGATGTTTCATGTAATGTCTTGAAAGTCACATCCTCTCCCTTTCCTGTCAGGATATCTGTCTGTCTCTTTGTCTGTCAGGTCAGGAGTAAAAAACTGTGCCTGAAGTCCTCATGGCCTAGTTGTCTCCTAATTCAGCACCATTCCCACAGATGCAGCTCTGATTCCGATTTCTTCTTTTGCTCCCTATTTCTCTAAGAAAGCAAAGAACTTGTTTGTACTATTGCTGCATTCTCCCCTACCCCCTTTATTTCATCTTGCATTTTGACTCAACGGAGCGACAGGCAGAAAACTTCATCCTATGCTACTTCATACTGTCAAAAAAGGTCTGTCTTTAAAAGACCTCAGAATGTCAGCTCGCTTGTCCCTTCATGACCAGATAAGAAAACTACGATTTTTTTTGTGTGTGTGTTTTGTTTTGTTTTTTTCTTTTCCCCCTTTGGAACAAAGCAATTACAGGGTTTCTGTTTTATTCGTGGACCCAAAATCCTGAGCATATAATTGTTTTGAGATCCCGTAATTGCCTGTCTCAGCAGCTGATCTGTCAGCCACCACAGGAATTTCAGAGACAGCAGATGGGCTTACAAGTTTATTTGGTTTTTCTTGGCTTTAGGGAGGCCTGCAATATTTTATTCTGATTTTTCATCCTTCCCAAGGAGAGCAAATGGCCTTTTGTGGCAATGCACTGACATCTGCTGGTTGCTTTGATATGGTGGGAAATTTTCCCTGCAAGGAAACATTTGCACAAAAATCGTCATACAAATCTTGAGAAATTTGCCTTGTTAGCAAACCCTGTGATTAAGTTCCTTTTCAAAAATATCAACAGAATTCCTTGTGGATTTTAGTGCTTGTATTCTTTTTGCCTGTTTTAGGAGAATGCTATATTTTATTGCAAATATTTTCCATTTTGCTCTTTTAGGGTGAAAAGGGACCCCAAGGTTTACCTGGTTTAATGGGTGAGAGAGGAGAAAAGGTAAAAGCAAATAAATATTTTTCGGGGCATAAAAATGAATACCGATAGTGATTATAACAGCTGACATTTTATATGGCCTTTTTTGAATTCAGTCAAATGCTACCAAGTCGAACATCAAGAATAATAGAAAAATCAGTAGAAATGGAAAACAGAACTCATAATCTTGGTGGTTAACTGCTTGAATCATAATATGTTCAATAAATTTTCAGATCTGGATAAGCAATAGCACTTAGACTTATATGCCACTTTGTGCTTTATAGCACTCTCTAGCAGTTTACAAAGTCAGCATATTGCCTCCAATTTGGATGGGGTATATGCTATATATTTGGATATTCTAAAACTTAACTATAAAATTTTACATTTCCTGCATCATTAATTTCTCAGATCTGATTTAATATTTGTTGATTGAAACATTTTGGTACAATGTAGCTTGAAAAGAAAAAAGAGAAAAAGGAAAAGTTATATTAAGTGCTATGGAACCAGATCTAAAAAAAAACCCTACTGCTTGAGAGCTAAAATATTTCTTGGCTGTTATCATTACAGAACAGAGATTTTTACTGGGCTTTTAAGCATCTCAGGGACAGAAATTATAATCTAATTGTCTTTTTAATATTTTATTTCTCTTAGCCAGGGGAAGTGTGGAGAAAGGAAAAAAAGAACAAGATTGAACAAATTACGATGGCATTTTTTAAGGGTACTTAGACATGAGCAATCGTTTATCTTGACCTGCTTATGGTTTAGATAAGAGGAAAGTGATTTCTACCAGTTGATAAATTGTCATAAACATCAGCTCTCTTGCATTTGCTGAACCTAGAAATCCTTCAAGCACTGTTCTCACAGAATCCCTTTAGTAAGTTTTATTTAGAAAAAAGGGAAGGGATTATAGGAATTCTGGCAAGTGAACTGTTTCCAATCTACAACTGATATGTGCCAAAGAGCATTTAGTAGAAGAGAATATTTGAGCTCAGGGTTCAACTTTACAGTCCTTGCTGTTCCCTGAGCTTGGTGGTTTGCAGATGTTTGAACATAATCAGTATGAGGTTTAATGCCACACACACACACACACACACACACACACACACACACACACGTGTGTGGTTGTGTGTGTGTGTGTGTGTGTGTGTGTGTGTAGAAAAGAGAAGGAAGAAGGAAACTACATCACATGATATGTCAGTGTTTTCATATATCAGGGGCTGCCAGAAAAAAAGAGGGCGGTGAACCTATTTTCCAAAGTAATAGAAAGCAAGGCAAGGAATGGAAACTAATCAAGGAGAGAACCAACCTAGAACTGAGGAGAAATTTTCTGGCAGTGAGAACAATAAACCAATGGGAAAAAGCTTGCTTCAGAAGTTGTGAGTGCTTCATCACTGGAGGTTTCTAAGAAGAGACTAAATAGCCACTTGTCTGAAATGGTATATAGAATCTTCTGCTTGAGCAGCAGAGGTGGTATTCAGCAGGTTCTGACCAGTTCTGGAGAACCGGTAGTGGAAATTTTGAGTAGTTCGGAGAACCGGCAAATACCTCCTCTGACTGGAGATTTTACAGTATCCTTCCCCTGCCACGCCCACCAAGCCACGCCTAAAGAACAGGTAGTAAAAAAAAAATTGAACCCCACCACTGCCTAAAAGACTTCCAAGGTCTCTTCTAACTCTATTATTCTATTACCAGAACTGGCAGGGCAAGCTACCTAGTTGAGTAATGAAATGTTTGCAAGCAAACAACCAAGTTCAGGGAGCATGAAGAATTTCAAAATAAATTTAGGTGGATTTTGTCCTCATTTTTTTTTAAAAAAAAGAAACTGTAGGCCCGTGTATTAGTAGATCTCTTCATTAAAGAAAGAAATTGCAAATGGTTATTTATAAACTAGTCCCTGAACCCTTTTGAGTTTGGAAATTAACATTACGGTACATTACTCCAACAGCATTTACCAAATAATTAATTCACTGCTTAATTCCTGTAATTTGGAACTAATGATATACCATCTTTGAGATCACAAATTAATGTGGCTAGATTTGTTTTTCTTATTATTCAGATTCTCCGGCTTTTTAGCCAATGCTATTTTTAGATATCATCATGATTCCCCATTAACTTTGCTGTCATAATCTATATTATTTTAGGGTTCCATTGGTGCAGCTGGCATCCCAGGGAGAGATGGAGTCAAAGGAGAAGCGGTAAGTTTTTTTTTCTCCTCTCTTTTTAATCCTCTTTCCCTTGCAGCGTAAAACCAGGTGTTTGGATCAATCTTCATTGATTAATGAAGAAGATTAATATTGCGTTGGCTCCAAATGTAAGAAAACAAATAAAAATCAGGTTATTAACCTCAACAATCCTATCTTTGGGCCAAGGGAGCAAACAGACTTCTTATAGATTATCTGTTCTGTGAAGCTCTGAGGAGGATTTCAATTGTCATCCATTAAAATGCTGTGTGTAACTAGAGATTTCACAGGAGCAGTGGAGCAAAACAGTTGAACAAAACACAGCTATTTATTTCTCTGCAAACAAAAGTTTGCCAGCTGAAATTTGATGGGTGGAAACACAGAGATCTGAAAATAATAATTATCCACTTCTGGGTCTACAAGTATGCAAGCAGTCTTCTTCAACAACAGTACATTTTTTTAAAGGTAAATGTTCCCCCTGTCCAGTAGGGCCCAATTCTAAGACACTATCTCTGTTTCTTAGCCAAGGGAGCCAGCTTTGCCTGAAGATGTTTCCATGGTCAGCATGTCTATACACCAAGGGGCATGGAACATCTTCCTACCAAAGTGGTGTTCATTTATCTATTCACATTTGCATGCTTTAGAACTGCTGGGTTGGCAGCAGCTGTGGCAAGTAATGGGAGCTCACACCATTGCATGATGCTAGGGTCTCAAATTGCCAACCTTCCAGTTGACAAGCACAGCATCTTAGCAATATCAATAGCATTTAGACTTCACCCTCTCTAGTTTACAGCCCTCTCTAGGTGGTTTAAAGAGTCAACATCTTGCCCCCAACAATCTGGGTCCTATTTTTACTGAACTCGGAAGGATGGAAGGTTGAGTCAACCTTGAGCCAGAATCAAACTGCTGGCAGTCAGCAGAATTAGCCTGCAATACTGCATTCTAATCACTGTGCAACCATGGCTCTTAGCCAGTAAAGTATCAAAAAGCTTTGGAGTAATGAAGTCAGTGAATCCTCTTTCCCTGGGATGTAGACTTCCATATTCCAAGATGTGGCCTGATGTAATGGTATGTGAGAACAACCTTGGGAGGCAGGATGAAGACCGACAAATTTATAATAACAAAATATTAAGAAGGGTTGATTTTTAAAGTGCACACCTTGAAATCATATTTTACCATTGATTAAGCCATACCTTTCAAGTTTGCATAACAGTACTGTGCAACCAGAAGATCTTTTAAAAAATGTTAGTACTTGTTTGATGCGAAGAGATCTTTTTTTCCTAGACACAACTAAATGGAAGGGTGAGAGAAAACATTTTTGAAGACATCTTCTTCAAACGTCTTTCTTTGAAGATGTTTCGTTTCTCAGAAATGAAGAAGGATGAGAAGCAAAACATTTTCAAAAAAAAAAAAAAAACCCAAGGAAGTCCAGTTGCCTTTTGAAAAAGCACCTTTGAGACAACCACACCTGGATGACTGAGAATCTCCACAAACAAAAGTGGTGAAGTTCTCTCTTCCAGAAATTTTGGAGTAATTGTGTGAAAACTTTGCATTTCTCTCACTAGAAGCATCACTTTTGGTTTCATAGATCAACCAGTTTATGAGTTTTCAGTATGCTCTGATTCCTAAGGTGTCCACAGCAAGTCTCTGCAATGAATATTATTTTGCCTTCTCTTTTAGGGAGAACCTGGTCTTCCTGGAGTAACTGGTCTTCCTGGACCATCTGGCCCAAAGGTATATGAATATATTTAAACAATGTCAAGAATAAGATTCACAGGACCTTCAAGAAAAGTTTAGCTGTTTGGGATTTAATACTGAAGGTGGTTTCCAGTTTAAATATGTCAGAGGTCTCAGATATACTCAGGTCCTGGTCAAGAGAGACTCCTAATTCCTTACATAACAGTTTGTCAAAAATCTGATTCCCTGGGAAATTTAGTATCTTTGATCATATATTGAATGTAAAGAGCATGTATTGAGGCAGGGGTGGGCTTCTGGGGGCTCGCAGAGGCTCAATAACCTCAGAAAGACAAGCAGCAAGGGAAAGCTCTTAATAGGCTTAATTGAACTTCTGGGCATTCAGCCAAGAGCATTTCACACCTCATAAAAGTGTTGCAAGCTAGATAAACAATCCTCTTGTGGTGGAGAGTCATTGAGAAAATCAGATAACATAGCCACTGGCCTCCAAGGGGATTAATTCCCAAATAATAAGAATCATGTAACTCACCAGAAACTCCACTAAGACTCCAAAAATCCCCCCCACAGTCACTGCTATTAAGCCTGGTTTCACCCAGTCTTTTATATAAACAACTTTTTGGTATATATCTTTTTTTAGGTAATTAGGGCAAAGAAGTGATGTCAAGTTGTCTATACCCACCCAGTCACATGACCACCCAGCTGCACCCACCGAGCCAGTCATAAGGGCAGAGAGCCCCTTGCTAAAAAATTTGAAGCCCACCCCTTTCGATAGTCCCTTTTTCCCATTAACTACTATTATTTTTCCAAATAGCTTCAAAGTAACATTTACTTATTTCCACTCTAATAAAGTAGTACTACGGCAATACAAAGTTGTCAGCATATTTTCCCTTATTCCCTTACTTTCTTAGTCAGCTTTTATACTAATATGATGGCTCATTTATTAAGCCAATACTTGACTCTACTGAGAATTTTGTGTTTGATTTTTAAAAATACAAGTAATAGCTTGTCTGGCTAAAAATGTATTTGAGTCATAGAAGATTAATAGCGATACTAATTTTGATTTGTAATCTCCTTTGTATTTAAGTTTCTGGAGTATTTGTTTTTACAGTTTCAGCAACGTATCTGCCAGAGTTAGTATTAATGTTTTTGCAATCTAAATAAGTCGATACAAGCTTTATCCTGTGTTTCTTATCAAGTTTTGATTCAGGGAATTATAGGCCACTTATCATGATCTCCAGACCAAACCACACTTTCACCTTGTTTTCTAGGATGGAAAATGCAAGACATGGAAATTTATTTACCTTAAAGGGCAACTAATTTGGAAATTCTTAAAAAAATATAACACAAATGGGCAATAGATCAATTTGGGAATCAGATATGTAAGCAATTTTCCACAACACTTTTTCTATCTTTCTTATATTAACTTCTTTGGATTCACTAAATTTATATCTTCCACATTCTTTCCTTCCATATAAATGGCCACACAGAAACCATCGTTCCTGGCCAATATGTATATGGTTGGAACCCTAGTGATCTTATGGATATATCATGTTGTAGATGTTGTTATTGTCAAACATTAGTATTGCTTTCTTCCAGGATATCTTTCTGAAGCATCCCTCTGGATGTATCTCTAGATTTGGGCAGCTGATAAGTTTGAATGAATGAGTGAATGGATGGATGGATGGATGAATGAATATGTACATACAGTACATACATATATAAATGCATACTTTTTATGACCCACTCTTAGGCCTTAGTTCTTAGATTATCTGAAGCTTCTGACTTCAGAGAAGATCAGTTAAGTGTTTTCTTTTAGTTAAACCAAACACATTCCACCCCTCCTAAATTTGTTGTCGGCTTAATCCAGTTAATCTATAAGCACATTGTGTGACATGCTTATGATGGGAAATGATGGCTTCATCCAGTGATGGAATAAGTAGCTGATCATCATCAGGTGCAACATATGGACAATACCATGATTTTTCATCTTTTTATCAATTTACCCAGAACCGCTTCATCACAAGCATAAAAATAACCACCTGGTTTTAACACTCAAGTAATTTGCTTTTCAGAAAAGCTAACAAGATGTTTACAATACTGTAGAATTACCTGTTAAAGAGGATTTACATTTGTTCATGTAAATAATCTACCATAAATTTTGATTATCTTCTCAGGCGTCATTTTCCTTTCATTTTTGCTCAGGGAGAAGAAGGACGTTCAGGTCCCCCAGGACGTCAAGGTTATGTTGGAGCACCTGTAAGTTAGGATTTGTTGTCATCATTAATTTAATATTCTAAATGAATGCAGTATAATTGTTAAAATTCAGTTGTCTGGCAACAAGATTGTTAGAGTTTGCAGCAATCCAACCAGCATACAAGTAAATAATTCAGCAGGATTAATTTGTAGAAGAAACTTCTTTATATACAATAATATACAGTATGATGCATGTATACAATACCCATGCAGCAGAAGTCAAAATCAAAACTCAGAATCCAACAGTCATAATCACAGAAGCTATATATTCACAGAAGCACATCAACTCTTATATACATATATAGAGCTAAGCCATACCCAGGCTCCGAGGCATCTGGCATGGCTCACAACAGATGCTGTTTCTTAGTCACCAACAATTTCCATTGGCTGACTTGTTGTTATGGCTATTTCAGCTCATAATTTCTTATACACTGACAAAGATACTTGATTCTCAAACCAGAACCAGAGCATTCCATATACACAGATATTTGGTTAGGAAGGTAGAACAATTTCACTCAATAAGGTCAAAGGTAGAGCTATGCAGCCCTTCTGATTCAATTCCCATGATATGTTTTCTGATAATCCAATCCCAGAGAAGATGAAGAAGCTCCTTTAATATCCCATGAAGTTTGGAATCAAACAAAGGCAGAACAGATTTACTCAGAAGTCCATTTAATTTCACAATACGAGTCATGCTTCTGAGAAGGTCAACTATGGACATAATAGTTCCTTAGGAATTTGTGTTTGAGCCAACTAATTTTGCAATCTGCAGGTAACATATTGATAAACCTGTAGAATGAATTTGTATAGGCTGATCAATATGTACAGTAGACACATGAATTTGTCTACTACTGTGATGACCGAGGGCATGGCACAAAAGCAACACAGTCGAATAAGCAATAAGAATCCCTTTATTATCTCCAACTTTGCCCCCAATGTCCAGGTTACCTTCAGCTGGAGAAAAACTCTCCCAGGAACAGTCTTTAACTGTAGAAAATTCAGTCCAAAACAAGGTACATACAAACTGTAACTAAAAATCCAAACAAACCAAGCTGAAGTAATTAACTTGACAGGGCAGGAGGAGGAATTTCAGACTTGAAAGCACGACAAAACTCACACAGTTGGGAAGATGCCAGGAACATAGATAAGCCATGATGATACCAGATAAATTCATGTTTGCTCCCAACAACTTGCTGTGCGCAGCTTCCTCTTTTATACACTGTGTTCCCAGCTGCAGCTAAGGAAGGGAATCAGGGCCCTTTCCTCCCTCATAAGCCATGCAACTCACATTGCTCCCTTCTCTGTTCCTCTCTGCATTCCCTAGGATGAAGAGGGGCTGGGCCTGGGTCTTCCTCTGAATTCCCTCTCCCTTGCTCTACCTCTCCCCTGCTCTGCCCAGTTGGACTGGGCCCTTCCCCAGTTTCTTCCACAGCCAATGGAGCCACACTCCCACTCCCTGTCAGCTGTTCAGCTTCCCCCTCCGAGTCAGATTCTGATAGGGGCATGACAACTGCAGCTTCTTTTACTGTCTTTAGAACTTTTAAGTCTGCATTAAATTTTCAGATGTCTGAGCCAGTTTGAGTATTTGCATAACCCAAATGAGCAAAATAGAAAAGGATAAGTAATTACATATGCCAGATGTAAATATTCCTTGTAGACATACCCTTTCTTCCCCATTCGTTCATCATATTCTAGACACATTGTGTAACAGTATTTTTTGCTTAATGAGAAATAAATGTGCTTTTTTAGTCTTTAATTTGCTATAACTTAATTGTTCAGATCCCCAATGAAGCAAAGTTTGTTCAGGAATAAAATAACTTCATAATAATTAGCCTTTTTTGGTCTCAGCTTGTCTTTTGTAGGCTATAACTACATATATCCCATTTACCTGATATTATTTTTTACAAAATATCGAGGAATAATTTAGACTGTTTTTTGCAGTAACTTGGACTCCGAGGAATTTGTGCACATAGATTTATCCACCTAGTGAGCTGCTGTATACAATTAAGTTCACAGAGTTGGTTCATTTTGCAAGTGTACATATATTGACCTCAACAAAGCTCATATAGGTCAATAATATCATTCTAATTCCATGGGTTCTCATCACATGGATTATACATCTTTTTTTCCTTTATAATGTCAGCTTCTACTTGTGGAATAATGTCACTGTTCATCAGATGAGATCATGTCTTTTGTTGGAGAAGGTCAATTAGTTTTCATTAGCTTCCTTTATCTGGTTGCAAAACAGTTTACTGTTTATTTTTTTTAATATAGCTTAAAGTCAAAATATTGAGTTTGTTGATCAATGTTCCAAGACCAATTAGCATAGACATTTTAAAAATTGTTGTATAGTTTTATTCTATTTTATTTTTATCCTTGCTACTCTCTGAGCTTTTTGCACTGATGGTACCTAGTTTGGTTTTTGAAACATCTGCAAGAAGACAACTCAAGTGCATTTCAACAATAATAGAGTCTAATATATGTTCTTTCTTCAACAATACTCAACATTTATTACGCCACTCTGTCAACATTCCTAGCCTGCCAATAGCTCATCTGGTTATCCTCAGAGGTATTGGTATCAATATGATTCCTGTGATTTCCTACTTTCTTTCTTTTTCTTTCTTTTTTTAGGGTTTGCAAGGGGAAAGAGGAGAAAAAGGACCCCGTGGAGACAAGGTACAAATAATTGGTCAAATAATAAGACATGAATATGAGTACAAGTTTGGAACAGACTTGGCTCTTGATAAATATTCCATGTTAAATATGCTATACTTAGGACAATACATTTCCCTGGAAGTGTTCTGACCCAAACCCTTTTCCAATAAAATAAACATGAACCAAAGGGAACAGAAACCTTTTAATGATTCTTACGAATCCCCGGTTAAAAGGCTGCTGCAAACTAATTAACTTTGATAAGCACAAACCTCACCAAAACTGTGCGAGGCTGCCAAGAATAACAGATAAGGTTACCTAGAGATATTTTACAACACAAGAGTCTTCAAATACCAACTTAAAATGCTGCAGTGTCCATGAGGTTCGACTTTCAAAACATCTTTGTTTCCTACAAAGAACGTCCGATTCACAGCTGGCTTTTATCTTCTTGAAGGAGGGGCCATTACCTTGCAGCCTTACTCCCGAGTCGCCCATGCTGCTGCAGCTGCTCTTTCCTGTGAGCAGCCCTGCGTGCATGCACACTTGGCACAGGCTCCTCAGGAACCTCCTCATCGCTGCTGCCAGCCCCCACAATCTCTGAAGGCAGCAGTCCACTCCCTAATGGTCCTGGCCCCTCATCTGAGTCCTCGTTCTCCTCAGCCATCCACACCTGTTGCCGACTAACCACAACAGGAAGTCCACTTGAGTTAGATCATTTTAGATATAATATAATATATTCTATGCAGGCTGCATACATGTAATTCACCCTTGTCATTGACCAAACATGGTCTGCATAAAGATATGAATTCATTATTTGAATGTATCAAATTTATTGAAGAATTAATCCACTGCCTTTTAGATGTTCTCAATCTTAGCACTGAAGCAAACATCATCTTCATTTAATGACCCCATAATCCCTTGCGGGGTGGAGTCTGGGCAACTGAATGGAGCTAGCAGAGTGTTTTAATGGCCAGATGCCCTTCCTGTCACCAATGAGGAGTTTTGTTCAGCAGATATTTTCTCATTGTGCCCAGAGAGAGAAATATCTGCCTCTGCCTAGGATCAAACTCACAGTCTCCTGATTGTGAGGCGAGAGCTCCACCTCTGGGCCACCACACCACTCGTCAGCAATGAAGCAAACAAGCTTAGGAAATTCTGGGTTTAATTTTAGAAACACTATATAGGGAATAGACTGGAGATATAAAATATTGTCCAAAGGTAGGCTGGTAATTGGGTGTCCTGCTGGCCAAAAGAGAAGAAAACAGTCAAAACCAGGAACGCAATTCAGTGCAGGTTGGAGTTCAGAATCAATGCTGGAAATCAAACAATAAATGCTTTTTTAAAAAAAGCTAGGACAGGGGTTAGCAACCTTTGGCTCTGGAGCCGCATGTGGCTCTTTCATCCCTCTGCTGCAGCTCCCTGTCGCTGGTTGGCTCCACAATTGATAGGGCTTTTGGTTAGGACAGGGAGAGGAAAAAGGACGCCGTGCTAGGAGGAGACTCTATGGTGGGGGAACCGGACTTCCGATCCGGCTCCAGAATTGAACAGGGGGCTTCCAGTGTGACTCTTTGAAATGCTTAAGGTTACTGACACAGCTAGGAGTTCAGATCAGTCTACTTCCATTTCTAATCCCAGGGAAATGTGTTCATGATAAATGCAACTTTTCCAAGACTACTTCATGGAATGAGATCTCCAACAGAGCTTTTATGTTTGTTTGCTCAGGGAGAACGTGGCCTTGACGGTTTTCCTGGGAAGTCTGGCTTGGATGGAAAACAGGTATGTGGTTAATTTTTAAGTTTTTTAAAAAAATATAATCCTTTTTAGAACAAATTGTGCATATGAAATACAAAGACCTGGTAATCAGCTTTTGCAATGCTTTGCATAAACCTAACAGCAAATTCTACCGCACATCCTTTACATTTAAAATGATCAATCCTCCAGTGGCGTTGATGGGGCAACGGTGGCATTATGGACTATACAAAATGGTTCACATGAACAACCTGATTCATTTCAGGTCCTCCATCTCACAGTTCAAAAGAACACATCTGTTTATTTTAGTTAATGGGCTCTGCTGACTGGAGAAATGGTTTTCTCTCTTTTTATCATACCTCATGCTTTCCAATGAGATTCAGAAAACATTTTTAGACTATTCTACATGAGACTATCCTGCAGAACAAGCATGTTGGCTATGTCCTCTATGGGGACAAATAAATCATTTGGATCCAAGGTCCAATAATCAAAACAGGCCAGATAAGCTTGTGCTTTTTTCTACAAAGATAAGGAGTAGGGTGATATCAAAGCAGTCTTCCAATATTTGAAGGCCTGTCACAGAGAAGAGGAGGTTAACTATTATCCAAAGCACCAGAGGGCAAAAGCAATTGAGGATAAATTTCCTGTTAGTGAAAACAATTAATCAGTGGAACAGCTTGCCTTTAGAAGTTCTGGATGCTCCATCACTGGAGGTTTTCAAGAAGAGACTAGATAGCCATTTGTCTGGAATGATCTAGAATCTCCTACTTGAGCTCCAGGGTCCCTTCCAACTCTGCTATTCTATAATCTGTATCCAGAACAAAACAGAAGTATACATATTTCTGACTCTTTGTGATCTCATGGAAATCGTATTACCAGGATGATTTATCCATAACTATTTCTTTGTATTATTATAGCTTTTATGTTTCTAGCATTAATGTTTCATGCTTGGGAGTTAACTGAAAGAACCAGTTGGTCACTAAGGAATACAGAATGATTGATTAGTTGGATCAACACAGTTCTTATATTGTTAATTGGGTGGAAAGTCAGGTATGTTTACCAGTCTAAGCTTGATGAATTAGTAGTCTCAGTACAATAGAGTTTCAAAGGTGAGCTGTGTAGTTTTGATTTATTTGCCTGTATGTTCCAAAAGCAAATCAAAAGAACAAAAATCTCCCATCAAAAAACTGCTGTTAAGACAAACTTGTTCCACCAAAACCTTCGCCCACATATTATTACTCACCTTTAAAGCAGGCAAGTTCTTTTTTTCATAGGAAATAACAATCTTTTTTTTTTTTTAATGTTAGAGGTAATTTTACAGTACAACACAACTTTGATTTGAAATTGGGATATTGAGGGAGTGTCAAAATTGAAATGCTTCATAGTGAATACTATGACTCTTCAATTTGCCAAAGAACAAGGGAAAGGGGGAATGATGTGGAATGCAGAAGTTCCAGACTTCAACCGCGAGAACTAAGTAACCATCAAAGACACTTATTTATTTATTTATTGAATTGATATTGCCGCCTATTTGCCCATGGAGACTTGAGGGGACTTACAGAATGTAAAACCATATTTAAAATAAAATAAAATAAAATTTAAAAAACAATAAAAAACTAACAAAAAGAATCAAATAAATTAATAAAGTACAATAGAACAAAATCTGGAAAAACAAATACATAAAAAAACCCCCCAACTCCACTCCCTGCCCCAACGACAGCACCTCACATGAGCCATTTAATGGGCCCCATCCCGCTCTGGGTTCTCCAGGTCTGCTGGCAGAACCAAGTCTTCAGTGCCTTCTGGAAGAGTATTGGACAGGGGGCCATTCTAATTTCTGGGGGAATGATGTTCCAGAGAGGGAGCCACCACAGAAAAGGCCCTTCTTCAGGTGTCAGCCAAGCTATGGACTATTCTCAAAACAGAATGATTCGCAATTGGTTAATGCAGGGGTGTTAAACTCATGGCATCACATTGTCATCACATGACGTATTGTGACTTTTTTCCCCTTCACTAAACTGAGGGTGGGCATGGCCAACTCATGATGCATCTACCTTGCAGGCCACGAGTTTGACACTCCTGGGTTGATGTGACCCATTCCATGGAGAACAGGAGAGACATCTATTTTTTTAACTATGTGGGATTGTGCAGGAAAAGTTAGAGATAGTTTTGCATTCATTGGTGCCGAAATGATGTACTCAATAAAGTTTGTTTTTAGGGTTTTAAGGTTCCTAAAATTGTCTACTTTTGTTGGATCCATCAGTTGGACCGTTGACCCTGAGGATATTACATGAAGTTCTACTATAAGTTCACTTTTCTGGATCTCTTAAGAAGACCCAATGTTTCTCTCTTCAGATTCTTGTCTTTATTTTAAAACTCATTACTATTTTGAACACCTTTTGACATCTGGTTATTTTTATTTCAGGGTGCCAAAGGAAGTCCAGGTCAACCTGGACCCACAGGACTACAAGGAGCGAAGGTAAAATGAGGATTATATAAAGGATTGGTGTGTGTGTATTCATGTTTTAAAAATTATTTTTAAAGTAATTGGAATGTAGGAGATAGTAAGCTTAAAAGCAGATGCATCTCTTTTTAAAAAATGCATTAAAGATACAGCTAATTTAAGTAGATGACCTCTTAAAACAGTTGCATCTTTTTCAGTCTAATGCCTGAAAATTTTCTGTTTTCAGGCTTGAAAATATTGTAGATGTTTCTGCTTTAAACAAGTCCTATGCTTGCAGTCCCTCCAAACCTCTTCTACATCATTTTTGTAATCTGTATACAAATACTGCATGTATCTGTCTATAGGCATTTATAACATGCATATATTCATTTATTTGTTCAATCAGTTGATTCATTCATTTTCATTTATCATCAAGAACAAAATCTACTTAGTAAGAGTTTCTTACTCTTCCATATTATTTAAATCATTTTCATTATGCTGCCAATAAAGTAATCACATTTTAGTGGCCAGATCATAGTGACTGAAATTTGAAGGGATTAAGTAACTGTTGTAGGATTTTCCTCTTTTTTGCACATTTTTTGTTTATTCCCCACTGAAATTAGCAGGGGTTCTCCAATCTTGTAGTGGGATAAATCTGTGGAATGTTGTTGTTGTTAGTTGCGAAGTCATGTCCCCATAGACAACATTTCTCCAGGCCTTCCTGTCCTCTACCATCTTCTGGAGTCCATTTAAGCTCACACCGACCGCTTCAGTGACTCCATCCAGCCACCTTATTCTCTGCCGTCCCCTTCTTCTTCTTTAGCCCTCAATCGTTCCCAGCATTGGGCTCTTCTCCAGGGAGCCCTTCCTTCTCATCAGGTGGCCAAAGTCTATGAGTTTCATCTTCAGGATCTAGCCTTCTAAAGAGCATTCAGGGTTGATCTCCTCTAGGACTGATCGGTTGGATCGCCTTGCAGTCCCAGGGACTCGCAGGAGTCTTCTCCAGCACCATAGTCTGAAGGCCTCAATTCTTTGGTGCTCAGCCTTCCTTTTGGTCCAACTTTCACAGCCATATATTGCAACTGAGAAAACCATAGCCATGTCTATATGCACTTTTGTTGGCAGGTTAATGTCTCTGCTTTTTAGTATGCTGTCTAGATTTGCCATAGCTTTCCTCCCCAGGAGCAAGTGTCCTTTAATTTCTTGGCTGTAGTCCCCATCTGGAGATGGTTGTAGACACAAATCACTGTTTGTGGGGGGGGGGGGGGGGGGTCTAGGAAAGTCTAGGAAGACTGGGGGTTGCTCACCTCTTTTTCAGTTTTTCCCAGCCAATTTTTATGTAAAGGAGTGTTTCTCAACATTGATAACTTTAAGAGATGACAACTTCATTCTCAGAGTCATGTTGGCTGAGGAATTCTAACAGTTGATGATCTTATAGTTGCCGAGGTTGACAAACATTGATATAAATCAGCTAACCAATTTGTAGGAGCTTCTTACAGGTCATCCACCTAATTATTTCTCTCTAATTTGTTTCCAATTATAGGGTGATATCGGTCCCCCTGGTAAACCAGGCTCAGCAGTAAGATTTATTTTATATGCAACTTTGGCATGGGATGGTGAAAAATGACTGCTGTGGAATTGATGTGGGATTGGGGATTTATAAATCTAGTGAATATCTCCTATCTTTGACAAAAGGAAGCCATATCCCTGTCTATGGATTCATGCTTAAAAATTGGAATGTGTCCAATTGATTTTTGTGCTTTGCAATTTGGGGATCAAGAGGAAGAAATCTTGAGTAGACCTTGTGCTAATAATGTGTGGATAATGAAGTGAAAGCCAATTCCTGACACATGATCCTTATGATTAAGGATCATTAATCACAATTATGATTAAGTTTGCAATCCTGAAATAGGTTGCAAACTGACAGGGAAATCAATTATGTGGTACACATGCATATGAAACAGCCTTAATATATCATTAATGGTAACAAAGATGGTTAGATTGTACATGTGGCATCTGTCACTTTTGAAAATATATGTTGGATCACATTTTGAACTACTCTAACTGTTGTTACCATGCATTCACTATTCACGTTAGCCATTTTTCAGTGGGTTCTGAAGTTGTCCTACAAATTCTATTAAAACCTAATAATTGATATTGTTATTTCAGTAGGTATAAAGTGCCACAGGCTGAAGGGATCATTTCATGTAGCTATTCAAAATCATTATCATTTTTATCATTATCAATTTTATCATTTTTAGTCATTATCATTTTTTGGGGGGGTCAGGTAACTGAAACAGATTTGATAAATTAACCTCTCACCAGCTTTTAAATTGGATTGCATCACTTATGAAGATTTCCAATGCAGGCCAATCTGTAGTTTTATAAAATAGTGTAGCTGACTCAGAGTTGTGTCATTGTAAATCTGTTAGTTGCTTCTAATTCAGTTTGGTATAACTGACTCCAATGTATAGTATGTAAGTTTAGCTTTGCTACTCACAGGGGTCATTATCAGGGGTGGGATTCAAATTTTTAACAACCAGTTCTGTGGATGTGGCTTAGGTGATGGTCATGGCTTGGTGGTCATGTGACTGGCTGGGTGTGGCCAACTCAACATCACTCACATCAAGTCATGCATCTCCTCGCCTGGCCTCTTATGACTGTAGGGATGCTGCAACAGTCCTAAGTGTGAACAATGGTCATAAGTCACTTTTTTCAGTGCCATTGTAACTTTGAATGGTCACTCCACACAAGCAAAGTACCAGCAAAGGAGAGGGAAAAAACTCCAGAGACATTCCTGAGACAGGAAGTCTAGTCCTGCCAAGAACGTAATAAGGGTTAATGGAGAGGCAGTTTCTGTAAGCAACACCAGAATGTTTCCTTCCTGCCTTCCTTACAAGATTAGGCCAGTAATTTCTTCTAACAACCTGTTCTCCAAACTGCTTAGAATGTTAACAACCGGTTCTAGTGAATAGGTGTGAACCTGTAGAATCCCACCCCTGGTCATTATTGCTGGTTCCAAACCAGATAGGAATAGTTTCTCAAATGTAATTTCCAAGGGACTTTTCACACAATTGTTGAGACACTGTATGGTGGATTGACACTTGAAATGAGACTCAGGGAACAACTGTCTCTGAAAAAATGCCAACCCTGAGAGAACTCAGGTAGCAGTATTTATTGAGAAAAAACACAAGCAAAATACAGTCTGCATATTCAGAAAACAATGACCTCAACAGGAGATTACTTCACCAGCATGAGAACACACAATCTTGGAAAGTCCCAGATGTTACCTTGCTAGGATGAGATCATACAGCCACAGAAAGTCTCATGGGAAAGTTTGGAAAGTCCCATGAGAAAGCACAACTGTGTATCTTGAACTTTCACCCATTTTCCTGTTCCTTCTAAACTGGCAGAATCAAAACAGAATGAGGCACTCTGAGCAAAGATACTCCTACCCCCACCAAGAATGCCCACATCTCCTAGACTTACTGCTAGTTATACAAAGGCCTTACAGAAAATGATAAAATGATCAATAAAATCTATTACCACATTCCCTCCTTTTTTATTTATTCAAAGATAGGGGGTGTTTTAGTGGCATAGTACACAGTTCCCTCATGACCTGATCCCACACGCCGGAAGACTGAGGTACACATTTGTAATAGATTAGGAATACATTGAATAAAACAACATAATAAGATACATATAGCAATAATAATAACAACCCCTTGCAATAAGGAGCGAAACCATGATCCATCAGGAAGCCAGGACCACAGACTGTCCCAGAATGATGCATTAAACCCATCGGCTCCAGATTGATGCTGAGCAATACGATCTTCCATGTCCTGAACAGTCTTTGTAATGTTTGGCTCATAATTATGTATAAAAACACAACAATGCGAATGAATTAAAGCACAAACTCCTCCTTGAGCAGCTAACATAATATCTAAAGCATATCGATTTTGCAAAGTAACTGTACGAATTTCAGACATTTCTACATTAATCATCTTAATATTCTTTATAGTATCATTAAACATAGCAACAGTAAAATTATTTAAAATATGAATATCCCTATAGTTCATAGCAATTCCCAAAGGCGGGATAAGACCTCGAGAAATTTGTGTCCATAGATTACCTCCCATGGTTAGACCTGATTCCAGCTCACGCTTGTTGCGGATTCTGCCTTCCGGCAACTGATCCAGTTTATAAATTACAGGTATTACATACCCCAATGTGCATATCCCAGACCAATTCCCGGGAACCTCCCGATACCCATACTCCCCACATAGGAACCACACATCATTCCCCATAGCCCAAGGCTCCCCCCGGGCTACCTCAGAACCATTCTTCATCTTCTCAAGATATTGACACATATAGCACTGAGGAGAATTGAACTGAGGGAGACAGGTATAGTTCTGCACACTGCTATTATAACAGATGGTTGGCATTTGAAAAGTGACATTACACCTGGACCAATTCCCTAGGAAAGTTCCTCCAGAGTCATTTCGGGTGAAACATACATACGCCCTTCCCTTTAAGGACACCTTGACCTTAGCCGTCACATTCCGATTATAATGTGTGCATTTTTTCTTTTTGAACATCTGGAATTGCTCTGTTGTAGCACAAGACAACTGTTTTCTCCAGGTTGCATTCTTTATTAAATCTTTTTCCTCAAAAGGCACTCCATGCAATGTTAGTCCTTCTCCCACTCTCCCAGGAAGGTGCATACACAACCAACAATTGGTGATGTTCAAGTTTTTGGCAGTTGAGCGCAAATCTTTAATGTAATTATTATCTATCCACAAATCATCGCCCAAATCTCCGGCACGCTGAACATGTTGTCGCTGCTCTCTCCGCACCCGAGCAGCCCAGGACAGATTAGGCAGAATCAGCAGGATCAGGAACCACAGATGCGCCATCCTGCTCCTCCGAAACTTCCTTCACAGGTGCCTGCGAATGATCAGGTCGAACACACCGACCAGGAACCCAACGAATTTGACCAAGATGTTCAACTGCTGCATAACCACGTCCCCACGTTATCAGCTCAGCAGGAACCCATGCTGGATCTGGAAGGAACCGCACCAACACCCGAGGTCTCACCGCATCTGTAGAAGGAGAAGAAAAATGCCTGCTGGCCGCGCTCGCAGGGGGGTTACCAGACAAATTTAAAAAATTTAAAGTATATAAAGCTAGATTTAATTGATCTTGAATCGCCGGAAGCCCCAGGAGCTTCCCTCCTTTTTTATTTAATTTAGTCAACATGGTCTTGAGCGTGGAATTATGACGTTCTACAATAGCTTGCCCAGTAGAATTGTATGGAATGCCAAATTTATGTTCCACGGACCATTGTTTGCAAAACTGATCAAAACCGGTGCTCCGATAAGCCGCACCATTATCAGTTTTTAAAGTTTTAGGTGTACCAGCAACTGAAAAAGTCTTAATGCAATGATTGATGACATGTTTAACCATCTCACCTCTTTGAGGGGTAGCCATTAAAAATCCTGAGTAAGTATCCACAGTTACATGTATATATTTCCAAGGTGCAAATGGTGGATATTGAGTAACATCCATTTGCCAAATCATTGAAGGTTTCAACCCTCTGGGGTTAACTCCCATAGGGATATTCGTGCCCTGCTTTGAACAAGTTGGACATTGTTGAATTATGGCAGCAGCTTCTGCAGTAGTAAGTTTGAATTGCTGTGCCAATGCTTTAGCGTTTTGATGAAAATAACTATGACTGTCCCATGGCTGGACAGTGAGAACTGAAGTTACAGCACTGTCAGCTTTGGCATTACCTTGTGATAAAATTCCAGGCAAATTACTATGACTACGAATGTGAGCAACAAAACACACATTCACACGCTGCTCCAAACATCCTTGTAAAAGCAAAAGCAATCTTAAAATATCAGGTGATATTCCAGGAGACAAATAAGAACCTGCTACAAAGGGTAACAAATTATACACATACAATGAATCCACTATTAAATTAAAATCCTGATTGTGAAAATTTTGAAAAGCCAAAACTACAGCAGCAAGTTCTGCCTGCTGGGCAGACTTCTGCTCTGAAGTCACTTTTGTATGCCAAATTCCAGATTTATCTTTCCAAACACAAGCACCAAAAACTTTCCCTCCATCAGTAAAAACTGTAGGAGCATCTGATATAGGCTGAGTTACAAAAAGACTTGCTAAATTAATTCTGACTGATTTATACAAAGATAGCCTAGGATCGGCTGGAGGATGACAAGAAAACTTCCCTGGCCAAGAATGTACCAAAACCTGCAAAAACTCACTATTGCAAATCATCTGTTCCCAGGTAGCTAAAGCAAAAGGAACATAACATGTTACTGGTTCCATACCAGCAATAGCCTTGCAGCGCTGACGAGCACGATTAAAAATATCAGCAAGCTGTTCTGTGATACAATTTATGGATTTCGATGGTGTATGAGACAAATGAATCCATTCCAGAATCCTTAAAGCAGTTTTTTCTTTTACCTGAACTATCAATGCAGTAGCCCTTCGTTCTGAGATTAAAATCACTGATAATGGACAATCTAGCAAACATCTATCTGTCCATCTTTGGCT